CATATTGGTTTCTAGAACACTTAAAGTTTTCAAATCTATTATCTTTGACTATAGGAGCAGACGTAGGTTTACTCGCATGCATACTTTATTTCTTTAGAATCTTTTCTAAGCATGCTTTTGCGATAGTCCTAATACCCTATTTTCTTCTATCTCGGTGAATTTCGATTCCTAGAACTAATGACGCTCTACCAAGATCATTCACATTGAAACTTGAGGACAAAACTTCTTCTTCTCCAATGACAGATTAACATCACTACTATTCAGTAGAATACCATCTATTCATAGGATGTGGAAAATGAATTTTTCATTCTTGAACTTCGCATAAACGCTATTGTCCTTCTCATTTTCTTTAAAAACCTAAACTTTCTTATTGTATTCATCAACGTCAAATACTACTGTTTAGAGACTTACTTTTAAACCATAAATGCATTTCTATAGGTGGCATCCCGTACATTCTTTTTTTTCCACGACAAAACCTTTGGGTTGTGTCATGTTAACGTTTTTATACAAATCCCCGTTGAGAAATATCGTCTTTATATCCATCTGATGTAACTTTAAATCGTAATGTGCCAATAACACCATTATGATTATAAAAGAATCCTTGATGAGACTGGAGAGAAAACTCTCATCGTAATCTCTTCATTCTCTTTGCGTAAAGCATTTTGCTAAAAGTCGTGCTTTATATCTTTATACATTCCCTTTAGAGTCAAGTTTTGTGTTATAGACCCTTTTATAGCCTACTGTTTTTGCTCTATTAGAAATTTCTTCTAAGCCCCAAAATATCGTTGGTATTCATCGAATTCATTTCAGCTTCCATAGATTCTTACCATTTAAACGAGTAAACGCTTCTCATGACTTCTTCAAATAAGGTGGGATCACCCTCCATTTGAATTTCTTTACTAACATAGACTTCATAGGCCCTGTTTGGTTGAGCTGTGGCTGTGGGAAAAACTGCTGTAGGCTGTGAGCTGTGGAAAAGCTGTTGTGGGCTGTGAGCTGTAGAAAAGCTGAAAGCTGTTTGGTTAAACAAGTATAAAATATACATTTTATCTTTATCTCTCTTGAAACAACTATGGAAGAGCTTTTTATTCCACCAATTTCGAAAAGCAGAAAGCCAAAAGTCAAAAGCAGGGTCAACCCAGCTTTCAAAAATGAACTACGGAAAAGCAGCTGCTTCTGAAAAAGCACCCTCCAAAAGCAGCCCCTTTGGTTGGGCTTTTGACTTTTGGGGCCAAAAGCCAAAGCCAAAAGCCCAACCAAACAGGCCTATAGTGATCCGAAAAAACTGGTTTGCTAATTCTTTGAGACCTTTTGGGGCCTCAGCTACTGGCACTTTGATATGAGACTGTTGTTGCTCTTCATTGCCAAAAGGCATTTGATTCTACAGGCTCATGTATTATAAGATCCTTGTTTACATTATTTGTCTTCTTCCAAGAGCTAACAACAGGTGTTGTATTAGTCATACAACATCAACAGGTATTGAGAAACTTGTTGCTCTTGAGTCACTGGAGTGGACACGCAGTCACTCTTCTCTTCAAGTCTTAGGTCTCTATATACCTCTACATATCATGCTCCCCCAGATCTTCCCATCTTTTCTAAAGATGGTGTATCTTCAAATATCTTATTTTGGGTTTAATTTGTTAAATTCTCATATGACGCTTTAAGCACCACCTTAACATCTTTGAGGCTGACCACGCTATCTTTCTATCGGAACTTTAAAAGATCCAAGAATCTAGCTATTTCTCTGCTTAGGGGTATCATTGTTGTGACCGTTGTACTCCTCCAACGGTCGCATTTATCTTAATTAATCTTTATCTCACTCTTAATGAATAGTATCTTTCTTAATTGATCTTTATCTCACTCTTAATGAAGAGTATTTTTCTTAATTGATCTTAATATTCTTCCCCTCGAAATATGGCATGAACTTTACTGTCATAATCTCGAGAACTATTCAAAAAACTTGTGAACGAGGAGATATTTATAACTTACTTCATTCACATGATTACGTCACGTAAACAAAGTTATTTTTTGATCTGTTTAGGAGTACACTTTCCTTATTTCACTTCAAGAACTCAACGAGGTCTTTTATTAGCAGTATTTTTGCAAGTCACGCTTGCATCTTTTTCTTGTCTTTTGATTAGTATTGATCATGACGGTGTATTTCTATTGTGCCATGGTCAATACTAGGATAGCATAAGAGCTACCCAAATTTCTCTCGCTATGCGGGATACAAAGACATATGAGTCATCACAAAACTTCTCCCGCCATACAGGATGGACTAGCATAAGGACTATGCCAAAACTTTTCCCCATGTGGGATAAATCTATATACAAACATGTATGCTTAATCCAACATTGGTCAAATTAGATATGCATGTTACTTATTACAACTCTTATCATAAAAACATTCACTTATACTTCATTTTCTAATTAAATCTTCCTGTTGATTCCAATTTAATCAGAAAATTAATAAACTAACAAAAAATAATTCTGAACTGGCTTGACTTAAGCCTTTTTATTCACATAGCCTAGCATTGCAGCCCATTAGCATGCAGCTGAGTGATTTCGTCGGTTAAATAAACATGGTGTTTCTGCATCAATTCTACATCACCGTTAGGTAGAAAATAGAATTAATGCATAAAACTCATAAATCAAATTGAAATACATATAACTACTCTTTAAAATTAAATTCTCCCGTTAGTTCGAATTTAATTAGAAGATCATCAACATCATTGCAGCGGAAACTTGATAATAAAATACATTCTTTTAGTTCAGGAGCATTTCTTGGTCCTTATCTACTCTTTGAAAAATTGACCACGTTGGTGTAAAATTTATCAGAGATTTAAACCTCAAACTTAAACTCATTATAATATTATCATCATCAACGTTGGTCAGAAAATGACAATACCATAAACTGACTTAAACAAAACGGACTACTCCTCTAATTTAAATTTTTTTCGTTGGTTCCAATTTAATTAGAGGATAAACATAATCATAATTTACTAAATATAACTGCTCTTCAAATTAAATTCTCCCGTTGGTTCGAATTTAATTAGAAGATAATCGATATTAAACTTTGCAGCGGAAACATAAAAAAATATAATTTATCTACTTTTTAGAAGCATTTTACTATACTCATCTACTCTCTAGAAAAATTGTCCCGTTCGTTCAAATTTTGACATAGATTTAAATTGGGCAAAAATCATCAAAATTTGCTTCTGAAAATAATAAAACATTTCGCAATCTTTACTATGCATGCAGCCCGGCCCATCACTATTGCGCGTTCGCGCGGGCGGCCCAGCGACGAAAACGTGGCCCATCGGCTTGCTTCCCCATCACGCGCGCCCGCTCCCCCGTGCCCAGGCCGCAACCTGGGCCTGGGCGGGGAATCTGCTGCCCCGCCTAGCCCAAAAGTCAGCCCGAGCAGTCTCAGCCGTTGATCTCGATCGGACGGTCGAGCGACGATCTCGACGGGATAAAAATCACCACCACGTCGGTTCGCCCAAACCCTAGCTTCATTTGTCTCTTCGCTTTCTCTCTCTTCTTTCCTCAGCGCCGCGGCGGAGAAACGAGAGGCACAAGGCACAGTAGAGTGGTCCGCCACCGGTCCCCTCGCCGGTGAGCTCGCTCGCCCGAGGCTGAGCGTGCCGCCGTCGAGCGGTCTGGGCGACGGTGCCCTTGACTCCGCACGGCTCCACTCCCCGAACCCTAACCCTAGCTACTCTTCGCCGCATACCACATACACTGCACCCGAGGTCGACGCAGGAGGTGGCGGCGCCGCCGTGGTGCCCTTCGCCGGTGTACGTGTGCGGCCGAAGCAACGCGCGGCGCCGTCGAGCGGCACCGTAGTGGTGCTCTTTGTGCCCCCACACGCGCTCTTCCCTAAACACTAGATCCCTTTCTCCTTTGTCAGCCCTCAAAGCAGCAGACGCGGGAGAAGAAGGGCGGCGCCGCCGCGGGTCCCCTCGCCGGAGCGCGCGCTCCCCAGTGGGTGAGCGCGCCGCGGTCAAGCGGTCCTATGACGGTGCCCTCGGCCGGGGCTCGCGCCCACGGCGACGAGCGCGGCTCGGCTGCTTCTTCCCGCATGCGGCGGTAGCAGCGGCAGCGAGGAACCGGGTAGGTCCTCCCCTTTCTCCATCCGTCCATCTAGGGTTAGGGTTAGGGTTATGGTTGGGGTTCAATCCGATTCACTTTTTCTTGATTTCTTTTCACTTTTCTACCCCTGTCTAGATCTACCAACTAGCAACCTGGCTTTGATACCATTGATGGAATTCTTGGACTATCTAGGCGTAGATCTAGTGGGTAATACTTAGCTTAGATAGAAGACTTGGGTCACCAAGCGCAGTCACGGCCATGGCGTTGCAGCGACGTGGCCACTGGTGTCGAAGTAGAGGTAGCATCGTAGTGGTGGTGCGGTCCAGTGACGACGGTGAAGGCCGGTGGAGCTTCCCGTCGCTCACAACGCTCCCTCTAAATCGGACTAGGGTTAGACTCGATGTGGAACTGACGAGTCCGATCAACCTCGTGTCTTGTACCCCAGCCCCCACCGTCCTTTATGGCACTGCGCAACGGGCTCATCAGCCAGGAGAACTAGCTAAGCGCCCCCGATCAGGGCACAGATCAAAGACCCAATTGGCCATTGGACTGGTGGAGATCATCCTAACATTACTAACTCCGGTTTGATCAATCCCCAAACAGTTACATTTTTTTTTACAAATCCTTGCCCTCCCATGAGATATGAACAAACTCTGGTTCCTCATGAACATTGGCCATGGAAGCACTAAAATTACTCTGGATTTAATAACCAGCTATTACAGATGTGCATACAGTACAAGTTCTACATGATGAACATGACCACTATTGATGCTCCGAATGGTCACATATGATGCTGTACAATTCTTTCAACTATTATACCCCTATTACCTATGAACAAAACACAGCTAGCTTCTCTCGAGTGGTTCTGAAGCTGAACTCTCATCTACATGTATTTGGTTTCAGTGCTTACACATAGAACACTTGCCCAACATTCAGTAGGCTCTCATGGGGAACATTGAAGATAGCACTGTTCTCCCTGCAGATCTTCCTAAGGAAAGCATACATGTAGTTGATAGCAATCTTCTTGATGAACCCTGAATCCCTGCGGGCCCTGATGATCGTGTTCCCGAGGATGTGCACCACCCCAGCGTCCCTGCATGCATTCAGGAACCCAATCTCATCGCCCACGGTCTGGTACATCTGACCTGACGACACGACCTGGCTGTTCCCCATATGATTTGGGGACTGCACCTGTATAATGGAGTCGTGGGATGTATAGCTGAGATCCATGTTTGAACCGGTGCTGATGCCATTGATTCTTTGGTTGGTGTTGCCTGCCTGCTGGTTCAGCTCAAGGGTGCTGTACTCATCAGAATCTGTGTACTCTTCCATCATACTCTCCAGCCTGACAAAGAGCATCAGGCTGTTGAAGAGCATCTGCTCGAAGTCGTCATCCTTCTTGTGGATGTCCTTGTAGCCATACCTTGCCACGCATCGAAACATGTGGAAGTTCTTGGGACCAATTCGCTTCACAAGGAACCTTTCATCTGTTGGCACGGTGTAGACAGGAAGGTATTTCACACAGACGAAGACCAGAGTGGAGTGGATGGCAGGGAGATTGGTGATGAAGTGTGAGAAGATGTGAGGAACACCACTTGCCAGCTCGGTGTAAACCAGGCCCACACCAGGCACCCTGACCAGACCAAGGCTTGGACCAAGGCCTAGGATCCATGCCATGGACACCTTGCTGTGCATCTCAAATTCGTACCGCTTGAGTGTACCATAGTGCCATACATACATGATGATGAGGAAGGCGACAGCAAACACAAGCGGGACCCAGCCACCCTGATCGATCTTCCGCACCACAGCAGTGAAGTATGGAATTTCAACAAGCAATGACAGCGCGGTGAAAAGAATGACCAAGGTCCAGTGGCTGCGCCACACCAGCAACATTATGGGGATCATGAGAAATGTTGTCACAAGCATAACCATTATCACAGCAGTACCTGTTTACACAACATTAGTCCATGTTAGCAACTGAGCTGGAAAGTCAAATTTGTATGCAGAGACAGATATGGGAAGACTCTACCATATGCATTTGCTATCTGACTTTGGTTTTTAAATCCAGCAGTGACAGCGATGCAGAATATCAAAAGAATCCAATTAATATCGGGACTGTATATCTGGCCTAGATACTTCTTGGAAGTATGGATAATTCTCACTCTGGGGAAGCACCCTAGAGCAAGTGCTTGCTTGATAATTGAATGGGTCATCGATATAGTTGCCTGACTAGCAACTACTGCAGCAGCTGTTGCAACAATGAATGATGGCCAAAGTACAGAATCTGTACCAAATAATAGTGTCAATGTGCATTCATGTATATATGGTAAACGAAGACTCCCTCCATCTGACATTACCTGGAAGGGAATGATAGAAGGCATAGGAGACATGGTCTTTGTTCTGAGCTATATAGGCAGCTTGGCCCGTATACTGCAAAAGAAGGCATGGAAACACAACCACCGTGAAAGCAATCTGCACACAAAAATGTGATGTCATCAGCAGGCAAGCAAAAGGATTTACTTCTGTACTCATGTGAGAAGAGTAGGTAAAAATGTACATTTGCCTCTAAAAGGTTCCTTGGTTATCATAAGAACATTTTCACAGCTAGTAACAAAGACAGGCAATAAACTACCTGAATAGCTTGTACAGGGAAATATGAAAGATCAGCAAACAATGCTTCTGTCCCTGAAACATGGCCCAATATTTCAGTCCTGGTAATTGCCATTAAACAAAGGACAAGATTATTATAAAATTAGGAAAGATGTTCAAACCTGTAATGCTAAGCATAATTCCTCCTAAAGAAGCCCAGCTAGTCTTCCCTCGCTTAAAGTACCGATATACATAAATAGGATTAAAAGCCTTGAGAACAGATTGATCGTATTTGGAAATGTTTACGGCGCCCAGGATTCCAATGAGTATGAACCAAATAAATACTATTGGAGCAAAAAGCCAACTGACTTTATCAGTACCAAAGTGCTGCATGCTGAATAATCCAATCAATATGACCACAGAGACGATGACAACCACATCTGATATGGGAAAAAATGAAAGAATTCAGTCATCCACATACTGATCTCAGTATAATGATCAATGATCATCTGTCTTTTAAAACAGCCACACTAAACAAAACTATTCAGTGTACTACATTACCACTATAAAGATTACAAATGTGAAGGGAAAATTCTCAAATCACAGTTAACATGTTAACATTATTCTTTGAATAGACTCTGAAGAAGGTTATCATTTTACTAGATAAAATGGCATGGAAAGTTATGTTGCTTTGTTATTCACATCACACCTCCACATTTCTAGTTGAACTACTGATGGTGAAGAAATTAACATCATCCACTGAGTGTAATAGCAGTTAAAGATATGAAAGAGCAAGGTATAAGCTAATGAATGCAGGAAAAACAATACTAACTTCCAGATTTCACAAGTACCATTTCTCATTCTGGGCTCTTCCACTTGTATTCCTCCAGTTGCAGAAAGAACTGCAAGTTGTGATGCAAACTTAAGATCAATTCACTTGGGCAAAAGTAAAATAGCAAACATCATAAAAAAGATATATGTAGCACATTTAAAGGGGTGGAAGGGCATTATAACACTGAATATTTTCCTGGTCGGATATTGTTAACTGAACATTGAGCAATGCAATAGCAATAGAAGGTAAAACAGAACATCACTATGGCGTAAGTTTTTTCCATTTTAAAGAATGAAAACAGTTATAATTTGACAAATCATGTGGTTGTGGGACATTATCTAATTGCCAAAAACGTTACTGTATTTCCTGGAGGAACTGTTAACATTATATTTCAAAGGAACTGCCAGCATGCATTCCTTGGAGAATTTTTTCAGTGTCCAAAATGACTTCATTAATATTTATGTTCAGTATGGCAATGATAGAATTTGTTGAGAAAATATGCTGTTTAGCAGTTCACATCAAACTAAAAGCTGTAATCTAAGTTCTCATCAAAATATTAATTTCAGTAAATCTGGTAATAAATGCATAGTAAAACATAGAGATTTTTCATAAAAATAACATAAAGATACTCACCTGATATTGCAGGAGTGAGGATTCCATCTCCAACTGCCATACAAGTACCAAAAAGAACAAGAATAAGAATGACATTCTTCCTGATTTGGTGTCCCTCTAACCATCTTTTAATCTTTGCAGCAAGAGATTTCTCATCATATGTGTGGCGGCTGTATGTTGTTAGTTCTTCATCTGTTCTATGCTGATTCGGAATAGTGTTTATCTTTGCATGCCGGCAAAGCAGTGAGTAAAGAGCAAATGTTCCACCTGGCATTACAGTAAAACTCTATTATGTTGATATTCATTATCACAGAATTTGTAAGCCAAACTGATTGAAAATTTACTAATATGCGGAAGATCAAGTACTGAACATCACAGCATGCTGCAGTGCACAAATCTTTGCATCCCACAACCAAATGGCTCAAAACACATATTGGACAATATGAGGCTTTCCTATCACGCTTTTCATCAAAATATTTAGTTCAGTTTGCTTCTGGGAGTTCAGAATGATAATGCTAATCTGTTAGAGGTATGATGCATTCTGACTTCGAGCTAAACCAATAAAACGCTTAAATGATTGTAGTGTTGCATGACATGAATCAAAACAAACTGCAGAAAGCATGTGAATGAGAAATTTAGCAAATAACCACCCTAGGAGAACTGTAAAACAATATAGTTTAGTTTTACTGCATCCTCTGAACAAACTAGAATGATCAGATTCTTTCATAACTGAAGCAGAAATTTCAAGGAAGCAAGAGTGTAAGACATATTCGTACCTTGGCCATTATCGTTTGCCCTCAAGACAATGAAGACATATTTAACAAGTGGAATCAGGGTAAGGGAGTAAATAATAAGCGAGAGTGCTCCAATAACTTGTTCGGTGTCTTCTATTTCACGAGGGAAAATGTTGTAGAAGACATATAAAGGCGATGTGCCTAAATCTCCAAACACCACACCGAGGCTTTGGAAAGCTAGTTGTAACAGCACAAGTGTAGGGTAGGTCTGCATATGCAAAAGGGGAAACAAGAAGAGGGCAAAATTACTGACCACTCATTAGCAGATCAGTTACACAGACACTAATAATCCGTAAAATGAACCAGTTATCACCACCTAAGGTAGCATTTCAGCATTGAAGTTGTGAAATGAAAAAGACCTTTGTAAACAGTTACGTGATAATCACCTTTTCCCTGTACATATTCCTCAATCTCCCGGCCTCTGCATCCATGGGCTGATCGAGATTCCTTTCCAGCTCCCACATAGCCCCCCTACTAGTCTGCTCATTTGCTGTGCTAGTAGTCTCCATGGGTTCAAACTAATCAGCAGCACGACCTTGCAGCCTGCAGGCATCAAGAATATATCAGTCTGTTTCCGAAGCCATCACAAAGAACAAAAGCTCTGAACTTGAGCAGCAAGAGAAGGCATAAGATGGACAGTTTTAAACTGTCTCGAGATCAAACTTCCATGAATTTGTGAGTTAACAACCAGAATTCAGGATATCTGACATTAACACATAGTTGTTCTAACACCAAACATCTACAGCTGATTAACTCAAAGCCATGCATCCAAAGAACAAAGTTGATTTCCACTATTTCCGAATGATATGGAACAGTGTGGCGGGAGGAAAAGGTGATCAAATAAGCATGCATAGCTCCAGGTTTTCATGACAAACAAAATAGAAAAGAAAACAGCAAAATGATCAAATTCTGATGCCATTTCTGCAGTATCTACCAACAATGGAAGAGATAATCTGTTGCTAACCTTGCAAACTCAGAACAAAGCCCCCAATGAATGCCGGGATTCCAGACTCAAGAGCTCGCCAAGATCAAAACTTGAGCGGAAATTCGCGCGCTCCCAGCATCAGTGTAGGCAGCCGGCGACGAGCCCCCGAGCCTCCGAAAGCATTCCAAGGTGGATTTGTGTTTTTTTTTCCCCTATGGCGTCCTCGACCTCCTCCTATTCACCTCTTCGCAGAGATTCGCGGGGCGGGACCGGGAAGAAGAGACGCCGCTGCCGTCTGCCGCGCATGCGCTGCACGGAGGGGAGGAGGACCAACCGGACCCTCGCACACGGACCACACGCGGAGAGGCGCTGCCTGCCAACCCCGCGGCGGAGAGGATGGGGACGGATGCGATCGGTTTTTCTAGTAGGAGAATAATTAATAATTGGCAAATCTCTTATCGGGTTGCAGAGCTGATGGAGTGGACAAGATTTGGCTGCAGCTCGTCGCGATGCGATGCGTCTGCACTTAATAATAGAGGAGGAGGAGCAATAATCAAATGCTAATGGCAGGTGCGATCAAAAGTCAAATCAACTAATCAAGTATCTTAATCACTGATGTGATGCCCATATATCGATCGATCTATCGTAATAATCTAATGTTATTTGTATCGGGTGGCGTGGCGTCAGGCTAAACATGGCAGACGCAGCTTCTGTCATGGGAAAAACTCCAGATGCATGTACTCTGATCAGTAGTAATAGAATTAGCAGGAACAAGTAGTAAACGTGCGTAAGATAACAATTAGCTGGAGTGACTGTAATTAGGTCTGCGCTGCAGCTATGGCTAGTATATTTCGAGCTGAGCTCGGCGGAAACGGCAGCTACTTCATATCCAATAGCATAGCAGCGTACACGTTTGGTTAGACCCCTTCGTTGTATAGGTCTTAGGGCAACCTAAGATATCATGTCAAACAAATTAACTACATACTCCCTCTGTCCCGCTTTAATTGACGTATTAGCTTTCAGTCCGGTGCAGCAAAGATTGTTTGAATGTGGACGTTGTGCGTGTTTGGGTGCATTGAAGAAACTGTGAATGTAGACAATTTACTGCATTGCCAGAACAACAGTCAAAGCGGGACGGAGGGAATATGTCACACTCTCCTATTTTAGAATAGAGTTAAATGCACCGCATGTCGATGAACTTGTCTAAAAATGTGCCATTTATGTCCATAAATATTGAAATTGCATTCATCGGCCCTTAAGCTTGATTATCCATTCACTGCAAACTATCCTACCTCGTCACTGTCATTTTGCCGACGTCGCATGGCCCTTCCATTAGTTTTAGGACTTAACGGTGTTAAGTCGAGTGTGAAGTGATGATTTTGCTAAGTGAAAAATAAATCGGTGTAGAGTTCAGTTTGTCTTTGTTGAATTTTGACGAATATTTCACATAGTTTAAGGTTATCATAATTGCATAAAATAAGAAATATATTATTTTTATATAATTATGACAACCTTATACCATTTTAAATATTTATTCCTCAAAATTAAACATAGACAAACTCAACTCTACATTGAGTCATTTTCACTCAGGGGTAAACCGTTAAATCCTAAAACTAACGAAAGTGCCATATAAGAAAAAATAAAGATAGCTTTCATGTCAAATTATAAGTTCATGGAAAAAAAGTCAAGAAAGTATGCCGAACTTTTTTCACATTAAGTCATTTATAAGTACTCTTTTTTTAGATTACATAGTATTCATTGTCGACCAAAACATTGTCTACTCTTCTAACCACCGGGATATAGGTCCTTTTGCAAGTACTTCGTATTACGGTTACGGTCCGGCCACAAAAGCAATACAAATACATGCGACATGTTCTTCAACACTACTTCAACAATACTTTTCAGCGAAGAAACAATATTTTCCTCTCACAATAAATCAGCATAAGCAGCAGCATCAGCCATGTTCATGTCTCTCCAAATCCTAAGATCTACTCGGCTTGTTTGAATATTTTGAGGTTTATACTGCCCCTAGGCTCTAGCTACATAAGGGGACATCCGAACATGGCGTGCATACTTGAGAACCACGTACTTTGACGCACATTACTCTCGTGACAATCACCGGCTACCTAAATGTAGGATGCTACCTGCCAACTCTTTTTCTTGGCTGCAAGCCTGCAACAGTATTGGCAAACCTGAGACACAAGCTTCCCCTCCCCATGGAGAAGAACCTGACCGCAAAATCTCTCCTGCGAAGGTGACGAGGAGACGAGAGAGGAGAGGAGAAAGCTGATCGGAATTGGGCTGAGCAGCATCACGACAGATAGGGACAGAGACCTAAGTTTCCCAACTCCACTCTCGCAATAATGCATCGCTACATCATGCATACGGAGTATCCTGGAATTCGTTCAATTTTTTTTTTTTTTTGAGAGGGAAGGATGGAATTCGTTCGCTTAGAAAGAGGGCAATGTATCAGTCAGTTAAGCACTATCGTCACAGAAATGCAATAAAACTAATCATGGGGAGAGGTGGGAGGGGATTTGCAAAAAAGTGTAATTACGTCCGCTCCTAATTACACTTTTGCAAATCTCCTCCCACTTCTCCGCCTGCAGTTGATTCGCACTTGATTTCATGTGTGCCGCCGGTTTCAGACTGGATATATTCCCTAGAAAGAGACGTGTGATTTGACAGTTCGCACAATCATAGCGCTGCAACCAAATATGTGAATTTCTTCTTCAGCGAAGGCCCACCCAACACACGGCACCAGGCTTTGTATCCTATATGTAGGCCGCGTCGGTGTCGTCACGTAGCATGCGGCCCAACAAAACTGGAAACTAGGTACCATTTGGCCCAACATCTTTGAACTTAATGCAAATCATTCACACATTACGCCATCCTATGCAATACCGTGTTTTCATTTTCATTACTGTGTTTGATTGGCAGCAGAGGTAACAACATACTTTGAACTGTCTTTGGCTAAGAAAATAATAATTGAAGGCATAGCAGGACAGCAGCAAGAAGACACAAAAAGCATATGCGGCTCATCCATAAATCACAGAAAAAAATATGTTACAGAATGGTTCAAGCTCGTCAAATTAGAAGACGCTAGGTCTTCGAGCTTCAAATGCTTCTCAAATGAACATTGGCTTGTTAAATTGTTATAGCTAGCAGCAACTAGTGAATCCTTCGCTTCTTCCTTTGAGCGTCATCTAATGAATGAAAAAAAAACATAAGTACAAGTCATTTTTCCATATGTTACAAGGCAATCAAGTTCTACATAATGAAAAAAAAACCTTTGGACAAACAGAACTATCCATGATGAGCAAAAAAATAGACTTTTAGCTAGCAGCTACTAATGTCACTACATTTGTGCAAGTTGAGTACAAGTTTGCTCTAAGGACACAACTAGTTGATCAAACGACTAGACTCTACATTTGTAAACATCGGGGCTGTTTGGCTGGCCTGAAAAATAAGCAAAAATACTGTTCCGGCTGGATTGTTATGAGATAAAAATACTGTTCTGGCTGGAAGACACTATTTATGTAAACAGTGCATGCGTGAGTGGGCTGGCCAGCCCCAGCCCAGCCAGCCAGCCGAACAAGCTGATCATTTGAATTTTTGAAGCGGGATTCTCAAGTGTTCACGCTAATGTATCTAAGGATCATCCAAATATCAAGAAGTGGCAAACTAAAAGTTGTGGCGACCGTGAGTACCATAGGGTCAAAGTGCATTTAAGATGTCCACCTTGTCTCTCTATTTCTGTAATTAAATTTGCAAGATTTAATTTAGGACACCTATGGGAACCTATGGATCCAGCAAGGAGATTGCCACTCAGCAAACTCTCACACTCGTCTAGAGAATAGAGAAGTTATGTACAGGTTCTACCACCTAGCTACAAACAATAATAAGCACACTAGGCCGGCTGTTGAACCACATGGCAGGAACAACATGCCTGCAAACATACATTATATATAGAAGGAATGCTAATAGCATGGCAATAACATGATAGCAGATGCCATATTACTAAGTGCCAAATTTCTTCTTCGCATTCAGGTAGTTAATGGAAGACGAGGCATAGTGTGGTACAAAGATAACACATGGACAAATTAGATAGCAAAATTTCCCTGCACAAAAGAGTGCTCATGATACTCACCTTTCCAAAGCACAGTGGCGAAGAGCCACGAGAATCCACCCTCCAGGAGCTTGCAAGATGTACTACACCAAAGTGTTTTGCTACACAGAATACATCAAGACCTCACTGTTATACAATAATGATGGAACATTAAAAATAAGCAAAATTTACAGGATGTAGGAGCTCATTGCCGCTTTAAGAAGGTTGTAGCAATAGTCTACGATTACTACTAGAAATATTCACTTCTATGACGAATAGATTTCATCACGGAAGCAGCCAAATTCGTCATAATTTTAGTTTTATGACGAATTTATGACGAAAAATGGTTCGTCATAGAAGTCGCGTCACACTTGCACATCTATGACGAATCTGCCAAAATCGTTATAGAAGTGTCTTGATCTGTAACGAAAAATAGACTGTCATAGAACTGTTTTGGCATGCGTGGCAGGGGGCTG